ATAATCTTAATAATCTATCAATACTCCTAATCTGAACCCTACATTTCTTCTATACCTCTTCTAACGCTAAAATAACTGTTTCACGTTGCCTACTGCTGAATCAAAACTATAGTTATCGTGGATCTGATTCAGTGTCCAACAGTGAAAGAGCAGAATTTGCATGCAGAGATCTAGATCACACTGGCAATGTTTGTAATCACAGGTATAAATGATTGAGGTATTTGCAGTACCTGGTGATTTCGACAATGATGTCACAAGAACATTTGACGAAGCTTGATAAAACTGTTATAATGAGATGTGACAGCACTAGCTTTGAGCAACTCTAATTAGTGAGCATATAGCTACTAAATGAGGCCCTAACAGACCCCAGTATTGAGAGATTACTGTATCTCATTGCCCAAGTAGGAAATACCCCTACTGGTGACTAAAGGCAGAAAGTTCTAAATATATTATATGGTAAGTGTCTCTATAGACCATTTTTGATTGCCTAATAGTACAGTTAAATGACTTATGGGAGTAACATTTTTTTTTAAATCAGTTTTCATTATGACAGTGTCAGAGAACCTCTTGTTTAGCTCATTAATCCAGTAAGACATGTAGGCTTTATACGAAGACACAGGCTTAATACTCAAGAGGGAGAATAAATTAAAACAAATGCAATGAGCTTTTATGATTCCAAGACAAATCACACAGTGTACCTTACCTCATTTTATCTGGAAAACAAATATACATTGTATAACCCTTTGTACTGTGTTGCAATCAAATGTAAAATAAAATTTATTTTTGCTCCAGCAGTGGTTTTATACTTCAAAGCTCTTCTGCCTGGTCTCCAGCTTGAAGTATATGACATAGATTGTTTGCAGGATACAATAAATAATAGCTTGTAACAAATAGTTTACCGGTTGTGCTTAATGTGAGTTGGAACATGTAATTGAAACCCATGGATGCATTCATTAGATGTAACACAGATAATTAAATGGTCTATTATTATATTAAATACCTGTTTTGTATCGTAAATGGTAAAATATTAAATATAACTCTTACTATTATAATATACTGAGATAAAAAAAAATTATATAGTGAAACTATTTTGAGCAATTTTTACTCATTAAGTTAACTTGTGTGTAATGCATCAAACACATAATGCATGATATTTTGCAATACTAACATATTTAATCTCTATCTAAGCCCCCTGGGGCCTATCATTTTATCGAATTAATTCATGAAGAGTCAGTGGCTACAAGCAGCTTTTATTTGTCATAAACTAAATGGCTTGGAGAAATCCAATCCATCTCTGTAAGTTACTTAGAATTGCCCCATAATACTGTCAAAAATGTGCTGTAAGTGTTAATTCCTATTTTTTTGTATAGGAAAGGCCTCCAATGTTCCCTAAAACAGAATTATAATTCCCTAACCAATATTTGAATATTTGACCAATATTTAACAGCACACACCAATACGTAAATTACAAATATAGTTCACTACCTATTGTGCATTATCAGGGTTATTTAAGAAAGTGAGAAACCCAAGTTAATTTCACATCTAAGGCCCAGTAACTGAGGTAAAAGCATAGATGGGTTAAAAAAAAATTCTGCTCAGTTATTTTGACCTTTCATTTGAAATTGAGTCAATTTAAATTATCACTTTAGTAAATAATCTTGTATATTAAAAAAAAAAGTACTATACGTAATCTACAAAGTGGAAAAGGAGTGCTATCACCAAGAGTGTACCTCACTCACTCTAAGATATGCCAATAGAAAAACAATTAGCTGATGTCACTAAAAAGCGACATTAGCTAAAAAAGGGGATAGCACATATAATATAGAGGATATGCAGATATAACCTGTTCACCAGGGCACAACCTCAAAAGGTCTAAAGAATAAAAAAATAATAATACAAATATGGTGAAGTACGTAAAAACAGTAAGTGGAGATCTCCAGGAGGTAGAAAACTTACAAAAGGTAAAGATGGTCTGCGCCTATCTACCCCTGGGGTATCAGAATGCAGCAGCAAAATTCTTCTTATATCTGTAAATCTGCAAGAAAGGGCAGAAGACTTGAAACAAAAAGGAATGATGGAAAACAACATCATTCCTTTTTGTTTCAGTGCATTCTGATACCCCCAGGGGGAGATAGGCGCAGACCATCTTTACCTTTTGTAAGTTTTAACATACGGTCCGACTGGAGACAAATAGACACAAAGCTATTCTGCCGCCACTTTGCCACCAATCTGTACCCCACTGATATCAGACAGGACACTCAAAAACAAATTGGGCAGGCCTATCGTGTTCCTGGGTAAGGTGCAGGTATGCAATAACTTCAACGCTGGAGGTTGTAGCTTGAGTGCTTGTAGGTTATTGCATATCTGCTCCCTGTGCTTTAGAGCACATGCCAAGACGATGTGCCCCAACAGAATGTTCCCCAAACAATGACTCACTGAAATGCAACCTTGCATTCTATCTAGAAAATCACCCCTCCTCACACTTGGTCAAAATCCTTACCACAGGGTTCACTGAAGGATTCCACAGGGGGCTGGTTGCACTCCCGAGGGGCACCTTAGAATGTAAGAACCTACAATCAGCCCCCCTAGAACCAGACACCATGGATATCCTGCTCACAGCTGAACTTCACCACAGGTTCATGATTGGGCCCTTCAAGCAACCTCCCTACTCCAACTGGAGAACAAACCCATAGCCATGGGCAAATTTAATAATAAAAAAACTTTGATCATTGACCTGTTGGTACTTCATTCCTCTTGTGTTCATAGTCTTAATTCACTCATACCATCAGGGGAATTCTCACTACAATATGCCACAGTGGACAATGCCATGGGAGCAATCTTGAAAGCCGGGTATGGTGCCTGGTTAGGCAAGATAGATGGGGCTAGTACTGTTTCGCCATGCGTCTGATGTTCGGAGCCAAGAGCAGCCCCAAACTGTTTGAGAAGTTCGTCGAAACACAATACTGGCTACTCTTGAACGTGTGCTGCTGTCCAGTGGCAATACATTATTTAGACGACTTCCTCACCATTGAAGAACCCAGCAAAATTCACCTTAGCATTGACAAAACCGTGGCACTATTCTCCACATTAGGGGTTCCCCTGGCAGCGGAGAAAATGATAGGCCCCACTACCAAGCTAATCTTCCTAGGCATTAGAGTTGAGCGAACCCGGACTGCAAAGTTCGGGTTCGTACCGAACATTCGTTTTTTTGGACACCGGACCCAAACACGGACATATCACTGTATGTTCGGGTTGAAGTTTGGTGTGCGGCGATTTAATGGCGCGTTTTGAAAGGCTGCAGGGCAGCCAATCAACAAGCATTTGACACGTGTGCCCTTAGAAGCCATCACAGCCATGCCTACTAATGACATGGTTGTGATTGGCCAGTGCAGCATCTGACCCAGCCTCTATATATAAGCTGGAGTCGCGTAGCGCCGCACGCAAATACGGTCTTATTAGTGTAGGGAGAGGATGCTGCCGCTGATAGGGACAGCTTAGGAAAGAATTCTGCAAACTAGTACATTAGTGGTGTGGGGTGCACTTCATATCTGAGAGTCAAATAGAAGCTTCAAATACCGCGGTTACATCTGAGTATTAAAAAGTCAATTTTATTTGGTGCTAAATAGTACATTAGTGGGATAGTACATTAGTGGGGTGCACTTCATATCTGAGAGGCAAATAGAATCAAATACTGCTGTCACATTGCAGTTTTAAAACTTAAAATTATTTGTGTGCTAAACTTCTAAATAGTATTTTAGTGGGGTGCAGCGTCTCATAGTGTGCTTACAGGGCAGTTGTAAAAATTCTAATTTTCTGGGTGCTAATCTGCTAAATAGTACATTTTGGGGCCTGCTTTTAATATCTGAGAGTCAAATAGAAGCATCTAATAGTGTGCTTACAGCGCAGTTGTAAAAATTCTAATTGTTTTGCTGCTAATCTGCTAAATAGTACATATGCGGCCTGCGGTGCACTTCATATCTGAGAGTCAAATCGAAGCGTCTAATAGTGTGCTTACAGCGCAGTGGTAAACATTCTTATTTTCTGGGTGTTAACCTGCTAAATAGTACATTTTGTGGCCTGCTCTTCATATTTGAGAGTGAAATAGAAGCGTCAAATACTGCGGTTACAGCGCATTTGTAAACATTCTAATTGTTTTGGTGCTAAACTGCTAAATAGTACATTTTGGGGCGTGCACTTCATATCTGAGAGTCAAATAGAAGCATCTATTAGTGTGCTTATAGCGCAGTTGTAAAAATTCTAATTGTTTTGCTGCTAATCTGCTGCTTACATTGGAGTTTAAAAAAAAAAAAAAAATTGTTGCTAAACAGTATATTTGGGGTGTTCACTTCATATATGAGAGTCAAATCGAAGCGTAACTTTGATTCGAATTTACTACATCGGTCACTTGTAATATTGTTTCACACCTACAACACTTGTTACACAGATCTAAGTGATAGAAAACAGATTGATGTTTTCTACACTAGAAACTACCAGATAACAAGCTGCTATATTTAAACTAGTTATCAATAGCTAAGAGGTACTTTAACAATATTGTAATTCTGGGGCAATACCCTCACAAGTCAAACTGAGAGGTCAGTTTATAGGGAAAACTGTTGCCTGGAGGAAATTCTAAAACAATTTCCATATGTCCTTTGCAGACTTTACATGCTGGAAAAACACAGGTGCCAACTGCTGTGGCTTTCTGCAGTGTGCATACCGGCAAGGAGGGCAGGGTTGAGGAGTGGGTGGCTTTGCACAATTTTGGGGTTGTCACCCTGCTGCTGCTGCTCACCTGTCTGCGCTGCAGTGTAACTTCGGCCTTCCCGCTCACCGCCTCATGAGACTGTGCGAGCAGCAGCAGGCAATCGTGGAGTTTCAGCTGCAGCATGCACGGGTCAGTGGCTCTGCACCAGACTTCCCTCCAATTGATCAGAGTTAAAGGATTCAAGTGGACTCATTAAAATTACAGGGCCTCGAAAGAGTCCTGGATTGTTATTTGTCGTCACTACCTTCCCGCGTCGGGAGTGGGTCATTTGCGCCTGCTGCCTTCTTTGCATGTGGTAGCCGTTTCTCAGGGTCCCTGTACGGAATGGAACCCTGATTCCCCGTTACCCGTGGTCACCATGGTAGGCACAGAAACTGGTATCGAAAGTTGATATGGATGACATCTGCATGCAAAGTCGCCGCTACGGGGATGTGCAATTGACCAGAGGTTCTCTAGAGTCAACAAAGTGCCTGCGCAACTATAATGTCAACAGCTACTCTGCGGAACAGAGTTGTCTTTTTTTTTATGTCCCAATATTTTGGGGGCCCCCCCAATTAAAAAAATATATATATATATATATATATTTTATATAAATATATATATATATATATATATATATATAAAACAGTGTTGCCTACCTCATCCTCCTCCTCCACCGCCACGGTCACCGTCTCCTCAACCTATGGGTCACTTAGTATAAACTATGTACACATTAGCAGAGGCTTGTGAAGACCTTTTCTCCGTGCATCAGGAGTTGAGCATTTCTCAGTTTTGGCTACATCATCCTTCGGCCGAACCCGCCGTACCCGAACATCCAGGTGTCCGCTCAACTCTACTAGGCATCCAACTGGACTCAGCAAACATGATAGCCAGTCTGCCTAATGAGAAAGTTCACTGCATTAGAGACGAAATATCAGGGTTCCTACATAAGAATTGTTGCTCCCGCAACAAATTTCAGTCACTACTAGGCTCACTTAATTTTGCTATTCGCATAATACCACAGGGCCGTGCTTTCATTTCACGCCTACTGCACCTACTGACCGAGGCCCCTCACGATAACTCAGACCTACCCATAATCATTGCTGATACCGACCAGACTCCCCACCCACCACTCCCCTTAACAATCACTCCCTAGGTGGGCTATTTATATATATATATATATATATATATATATATATATATATATTTATATTGTAATAGTAATATTATAATAACAAATACCATACTGCATGGTAAGGGATATAACACCGTTAAAATTTTAATAAAATAGCAAAACAAAACAAAATGTATGTACTATGTTCTTAGACTTCACAAAGCAGTTGCATACACAACAGTGTATCAAAATAGAATCATGTAGAATTGTGTGTTAAAATGTTTACAGATGTGTGTCCTGTGCAGCATTACAATGATGAATGAACATTAATATTGTAATAATGCATATTTTTCTATTTAAAAAGAAAAATGTAAGCATTGTAACTGACACTTTGAAATGTAACCTTAATCTTAGGACAGCAGTGAGACATAAACTTGCATATTACTGTAATTTCAATACAATGAATAATTAGATGAGCAAATGGTCTATTTATAATAACATTTCAAAGAACTGATAAGTGTATACCACACATGGAAACATCTCTAATACTGGCTGATTATTGTCTGTATGACCCAAAATGTGAACATCCTTTTTTTTTTTCCAGTTGTATTTTATATGCTGCTTTGAAGCAGTAATTACCTGATGACTGACAGATTATATTTTCGTCCTTAATTGAGTGTTAAAATTCAGTTCTTATGAATTATCCCATAAATGTCCATTTAATGAAAATCTATCTGATGAATATGTATCGGGCACACTCATTGGCAGGATAGCCAGTATAACTAAATGGTAAATTAATCTGCAGTAGATTTTTCTGAACTATTTGATTTTACCCCAGTGGAAATAAAAATTAACATGTTAAAATGGGAATTAATTTTACCAGCTGGTAAAAATCTGAGCTGATTGAAATATGCCATGTATTGATTGCTTTATGTGTTAAAATGGTTTACTGGGTCAGTATACAAACACTAATATTTTAATAACTCATGATTTTCTTCTAAACCTTTGTTTGGAGAATAAATAAAAAATGTTTAAAACCTAATGCTTTCGTAGCTAATGGAATAGTGATGTCACTATATGTTATTGAATCTGACCTAATGTTGATATACATTGATTAGCCTACAAATACAAAGATCCCTTTACCAACATTTGTCTATTTGCCAACAACAGTCTGATAGCAGAGAAAACTTCCTAATAAAAAATAAAATAATAACATACATGAAAAACACTCACTTTCAATAAATGAAAATGTATTAGGATAAAACAGGATATATAATGTTAGAAAAAAAGAAAGTGGTATGATGCTTCACAGCAACAAAATTGGCATAATAAAATATCTATGATAGAAACATTTAACAAAAATCATAGTGTAGATTGTTCATACATTTTCCAATGTTTAGTTAACATAGAGTACTCACAACTTTTAAAGTCCTTAAGGTTGGCTCTGAACTCTGTAGTTTTTTTTTTTTCAACACTCCCAGATTAATGCAGCATGCAGGGTTTCAAATACCAGGTCCCAACAGTGGTACTTATCTAATTAGAAGATCAGGAACCAAATGGGTATATATTAATACACTGTATTAATACACTTTATCAATAAAAACATAACAGAACTGAGATGAGGTAGCTAAGCACAACGCGTTTCAACCACAACAGGGGTCTTCCTCAGGTGCATCACACAAACTACATCTATTTATATACCCCCTAAAGTCTCTTATTTAGTCCAAGTGTGTCCACTTTCCAACTTCTGGTCTTATACATATAAGGTCCAGTTCTGGTAATCATCTGCCCCTTGCAAAATGACGATGTCAGTAAACTTACATAGCCACAGCCATCCTGAGACCTCCCAAGATGACTGTACCTTCCTCTGATATGTTCAATCATAATTGAGTTCTCAGTTCATCTGACACACTTCCTGTGCATAAACTTGGCACTTTCAAACTGGTGATGCTTCTACTTCCTGTGAGACGCGGCTACGTTATCAGGTCCTGTTCTATCGGTGTCAGAATATGCCATTATTTGAGTCCACTGCACCATATTTGTTATGGAAAATATAAACAAAAATATAAAAACAGGTTATAATCCAACATTTAATGTCTTATTTCATAAAAAGGGTTATTAAGTATTAGAGATCTTATTAAAATGTAACATGTGGGAATTAAAGTTATTTTATAAAAGGATGTCGATGTCAAAATTGAAATTTAACCCTTTTGGGAACAGTCTTAGTAGTTTGAAAATCCATTTGAACTCTTGTCTTTCCAAGCACTGCTCCCACTTCTCTAAAAAGTGGACTTTTTCTATGGCTAAAAATTCCCAAAATTTTTGATTGAATTGATGTTTCTCGAAAATTTCTTAACATTCCTAATGTGTTCGCTGATGCATGTTTTCAGCAATCTGAAAGTTCTCCCTACATACTGTAAACCACAAGTACACTTTAATAAAAAAAAAAATACAAAAATTGCCTAGGGATTGAATATTACATAGTTACATAGCTAAAAAGAGATTTGTGTCCGTCAAGTTCAGCCTTTCTCACATATGTTTTTGCTGTTGATTTAAAAGAAGGCAAAAAACCCAGTCTGAAGTGCTTCTAATTTTGCAACAAACTAGGAAAAAAAATCCTTCTTGACCCCAAAATGGCAGTCAGATATCTCCTTGAATCAAGCAGCGATTACCCCACTAATTAGAAAGTATATGTTATGTTTTTGCAAGTATTAATCCAATTGCTGTTTAAACATCTGTAAGGACTCTGAAAAAAACACCTCTTCATGCAGAGAATTCCACATCATTATAGTTCTTACTGTAAAAAAACATTTTCTTTGCCTTAGACTAAATCTACTTTCTTCCAGCTTAAATGAATGACCTTGTGTCTTATGTAAAGCCCTGTTAATGAATAGATTTTCAGACAATAGTTTGTATTGGCCCCGTATATATTTGTATAATGTTATCATATCCCCTCTGAGGCACCATTTTTTACAAACTAAAAAGATTAAATTGTTTTAACTTTTCTTCATATATTTGTATAATGCTATCATATCCCTTCTGAGGGCGCCATTTTTTCAAACTAAAAAGATTTAAACTAAAAAGATGTAAAAACCTCTTCCTTTTAGTTAATAACGTTAGAATTTTTATATACATTGTAATTGCCACAATAGTAGAATCCTTTTTGGGATTTAGACATTTAGACAATTATCTAAAATGTTTTTTTTTTTCCTTTTTCTCCATGTCACTAGAGGTAAAAATCTGTTTAAAATTCTTAGCTTCTCTAAAAAAAATGTTGGGCCTATCTATCTTAATGTTTTAACATTATTGATTTCAAGAAGATCTTCACTAACATACCCTTTCTGCTCAAACAATTTTTTATGACCCCCAGAACTGGACCTTATATGGACAATACCGGAAATTGGAAAGTGGACACACTAAGACTGAATAAGAGACTTTAGGGGGTATATAAATATAGGTGGTCTGTATGGTAAGGTAGACGTTCCTGAGGAACACCCCTGTTGCGGTCCAAACATGTTGTACTTAGCTACCTCATCTCAGTTTTGTTATATTTTTATTGATATTTTAATAAAGTGTATTAATATATACCCATTTGATTCCTGATCTTCTAATTAAAGGAGTACCACTGTTGGGACCTGGTATTTGAAGCCCTGCATGCTGCATCAATCTGAGTGTGTTAAAAAAGCCTACAGAGTTCAGAGCCGACCTTAAGGGCTCTAAAATTTGGGAGTGTTCAATGTTACCTCAAAATTCGATATATACAGTCTACACTATGATGTTTTTTTATGTTTCTATCATTCAGGTTTTATTCTGCCAATTTTATTGCTGTGAAGCATCATACCACTATGTGCGCTATCACCCTGCTTTTATTCTGATCTTACGTATGTATTAAGTGTTTTTAGTTACATAAAACATGGGTACTTATTCTTAGCTGAGCGTTATTGTTTCTTTATTGATATTGTTTTTGGATATATGATGTTGCATAAAAATATAAATCACTCATCCACTAAATATCAACTTCAAAGCTCACAGATTTTACTAGTTTCTTTTATTTTTTTTATTTATTTTTTTTAAACACCCAATCTAGGTAAAAATAATGGCAGTATAGTTACAGTATATGATCATACATTGCATAATCCTGCCACAATGTTAATGTACCCCATCTTTGGCAGGTCCTACATTACATAGTTATGTAGCTGAAAAGAGACTTGTGTCTATCAAGTTCAGCCTTCCTCACATGTTTTTGCTGTTGATCCAAAAGAAGGCAAAAAAACCTAGTCTGAAGTGCTTCCAATTTTGCAACAAACTAGGAAAAATGTCCTTCTTAACCCCAAAATAGTAGCCAGATGTCTCCTTGGATCAAGCAGCTATTACTCCACTAATTAGAAATGATATCCATGTATGCTATGTTTTTGCAAGTATTTATCCAATTGAAGTTTAAACATCTGTA